TTATCTATCATAATTTCTAGTTGTATCTTGGTAATAATTAGAATACTATTACTTTTAATATGTAAATAGGTTTGAATTAATAGTAAATAATCAACTATAAAATTTAAATCAATGATGATCCAGTTTGAATAATTATAATTTTATTTATTTTAAATGTCATATTGTTAATAATTAACTATATCTCAAATATTACTATTTATTTTTATATTAATTAACTGTTACAAATAGATATTTTCTGAATATTTGAAATTGTAGAATATCCAAACAATATTATTATGATATGTTTATATCAAATAACAGATATTATATAAATCATTACCAATAAAAATAGTGATAAAAATGAATGTATTAATTATGTCTGTTTATTATGAAAAATAACAGTATATATTCATATTTTTATCTTTATTCGTGTTGTTTTATTTAATAATATTTTATATCAATTTTATATCATTATTTCAGTTGTATTTAATGCTATCAATATTAAAACCTTCATGACTGTAATGTAATTTATAATAACTAATATCAATATACGATAAAAATAAATAAATGATAAATTCATATTTTAATGAACTTGTTTACACTAAACTAAATAATTAATGGTTATGAATATTTGGTAAATCAATGACTATTAACTATCTATTTGATAATCAGTTCATTAAAAAAATTTATTTTAAATAAACAATTGTATTGTTATATTAGTTGATAAAAATTAATAAATTAGAATTTCATATATCATTCAATTATTTAAATAAAAATACTCTTTTATAAATAATGTTGATACATATAAGAGTACTTATTGATTGATAATCATAGTCTTTATAATAGTTAATTTAAAATGTATGTGTTACAGAAATTGTTAATTAAACGATAGTGTAAATAATAACTATGATTATTCTATGCATGAATAAATATAAAATAATAAAGAATAAAGAATAAGAATATTATTTTATTATTTATTTGAATTTAGTATTATTGGTTTTGATTTATATTATTATGTTAATCATTTTCTTTAATTTTGATTATATTTATTCATGTTTTATCATTTTATCATTTTTATCTTATTATCTTGGTTTCAATGAATTTATGTTGTTAGACTTTTTATTTCATAATCATTGTTTTATCAATGATAGAAAGAGAAGATAATAAAAAGATAAATAAAAGTAGAACTGTTCAGTATTAATATAATAATTAAAAATGAATTTCATTTGTTTATCATTCTTAATTTATTATTATATTCGAATATTATTCATGTGATTTAATTTATTATATTGTTTTCTTATCTTTCTATTTCAAAATAAAATGAATGAGAAATAAATGATTTCTTAAAATTTATATATTTTTATCATTATTTTATATAGTATTTATCATTTATTTATTATTTTCTCTTTCTTATTCATTATTTATTATTATGTTTGAATAAATTATTTTGAACTATTTAATTAAAAATATAATGATTAATGATTTATAAGATATTTATTTGTTCTTTATTTCAATGTATTTCATCATTTGAATTATTATTGTTGATGTTAGATTGAATGTTTGAAAAGAAGAAGAAATAAAAAGAAGAAAATCATGAACAATGAATAAAGAAAATAAACAAAATATAAACAAATTCAACAAAATAAAAGATGATAAAAGAAGAAAATATTTTATTTTAATAATGAATAGAATATTATATTTCAATTTTTAAAAAGAATAGACAATAATGATGATATAAAATGAAATAAAAAAGAAAATGATAGAAATACAAAATTAAATTAAATGAATTTAATTTCAATCAAAAGAAAAAATAAATAAATGGAAGAATAAAATGATATTATATTAACAAATATTTAATTTAATCAATCAAATAATACAATGAATTAAAATGAAATTAAAATAATATTTAAATTTATGAAGATAAATCAAAAATAAAAAGATAAAAATAACAATTGAAAATAATAAAAAATAAATTATTTTTAGAAAACAATAACAAAATAAATCCCAATAATTATTTTAATTAAAAGTATTTTTATTCATTATTATTTATTTAAATACAACACATACAAATAATAAGAACATTTCAATCAACTATCAAATAACATATAATTATAATTTAACTTATTTCTTTATTATTTTCATTTCATATGAAAGATGAGTTAATTTATTTACGAAACAATAGAATTAAATATAAAAAATTTAATTTCTATTCAAAAGAAATGAGAATGAAAGATTTTTATTCTGTTTAAATGGGTTGTGTCCAACAAATAATTTCATTCTCTTTGATAATCAAATCATTTACACTTGAAAAAAACAATTTGATAGACAAATGACAAAAGAAATAAAAGTGATGATGTAAAAACATTTTATCAAAACAATGTAGTTTAAGGAAGTTCAAATAATTAGATTTTCATGAAAATGCACTTCACAAAGATGAAAAATCTCTTATAAAAAATGAGCACAAATGGTGGTTAAAAGTAATGAGAAGAAGGGTCTTTTATTTGGGTATGAAGGAATTAAATTCAATAATCACACAAAAAAAAACAAAAAAGGGTTTTCAAAAAATCAAGAAAAACAAAAAATAGTCATTCAAGAAAGATGAATAGTGAAACCCTTGGAGTTGTTGATAAAGTCAATAATAAATATGTTGAGATTACAGCAGACAATCATATTAAGTTTGTAAGAAATGAAAAAAAAAATAAAAAGAAATAGAAATAACAAATAGAACATATTTCATTGATAGCAAAGAAGTTATTAGTGATTGTTTTGATAAAGAACATTTAAAGAAAATTAGTGCAGTTACAATTACAAATATTAAAAAAAGTAATGGAAGTAATGAAAATAAAATGATTGTTGCAGTTGGGAATGAAGAAGGATTAGTTAGTATATGGGATGTTAATAAAGAAAAGATTGAAGAAGAATTTAATGTAATGAATAAAGTTACATGTCTTAAATTTTATAAAGAAGAACTCATTATTGGAACGAATGGAGATAGTATTACATTAATTAATATAAATAATAAAGAGAAAAGAACAATTAAAGGAAATAAAAGAGGAGTTAATTGTATTGAAGTTGTTGGGAATAAAATAATTGTAGGAAGTAGTGATGTTAAAGTATATGAAATAGAAGGATTAAAAAAAGTAGTTAAACAAAGTAATCATTTAGATATGACTAAAGGAATTATTGGATTAAATAATAAAGAATATATAACATATGGAAATGAAAAAAATATTTATCTTTGTTCTAATGAAACGAGTATTCAAATTCAAAGTTTTACATTAACAGGAAATCCAATTAAAGTAGAAGCAATGTATGTTAATGAAAATAATATATTAATTGCAGGATTAATAAATAATGGAAGTATTGATATAATATTATTTAAAAGAAATTGTAGAAAAGCAAAACCAATTGGAAGTAATTGTAGAATTCAAATTAATAGTGAAATAGATGATTTAGTTATTTATAGTGATAGAATAATGATTATTCAAAGAAATGAAGAATTAAAAATTGAATATATAAAAATAATGGAAGAAGGGAAACTTGTTAAAGATAGTGAAATAAAAGAAGAAAGTAAAAAGATTGAAGAAAGAATAATAGAAAAGAAAAATAAAGAAAAAAATAAAGAAATGATAAGTGAATCAAAAGAAATGGAAATTATTGGAATAGAAGAACAAAAAGAAATTGAAACAACATTTGAAAGAAAAATGAAAGTTATGGAACAACTTGGAAGTAAAGAAAGAGAAAATATAATAATAAGTAAAGAAAGTATTGTTATAACATTAATTAGAGCACTTGAAAGTAATAATAAAATATTAATTGAAAGATGTTTATCTATAGATGAAGAAAATGTAATTAAAAAAACAATAAATAATTTACCAAGTAAATATATTGTAGAATTATTAAATATAGTATGTGATATATTTAATAATAAACCAACAAAAGCATTTATAATGACATTATGGTTAAAATCAATATTTGAACAAGATTTAGCATATTTAATGAGTATTAAAGATGTTTCAAAAAGTATTGGAAAATTATATGTAATTGTTGAAAGTAGAACACTTTCATATAAACATTTATTAAGATTATATGGAAGAATGAATTTACTTTTATCTCAAATTGATAAAAAACAACAATTAAAACAAGATCAAAGAGGTGGTACTTATAATGAATCTTCTGATGAAGAACAAGAAGAAAAAAAAGAAAATCTTGAAGATTTTGATAATTCAATTGATATGGATGATAATTTATATAATCCATCATCAACTAATGAAGATGGAAATGAAATGAGTGAAGAGAAATTGAAATGATGATTTGTCTCTCTAAAAATGATGATTTTAAATTTATTAAGTTTAAGAAAGATATTTTAAAGAAACAGAA